TGGCAGGTGAGGAATTTAGATCTGATTGTTTGATTCGTGAATGCTTCAGTGGCAACATTTGGTATGACATGCATAAAATCCCTTCCACATAAAGTCTCTATCCTTCTCTATAAAAACTGAGCATGAAGGAATGGGAAGATGGGGGACAGCATGCAAGCATTCAACTTTTTAAAACTGTAGCATGACACAAACCGTTTTTCGTCAGCCTTTATATCAATCGCTTGATATTAAAATCTAAGTCAGAGAATTAGGATTAGGAAGATCCCTTCCCACAAGGCATTAGCTTCTAAAGAGCCCGGGCAACATAAAGATGCCATTTCTCAGTCATAAATGTCAGACGACTCAATGGTTAAAATGCCTCATAGATGACCAATGCAATTATCTTAATTTACAAGATTCATCCCTTTGTCCCAGCCAAAGACCTAATGCCTAAAATCACTGTCAACTTTCCTCATGGGATGTAGCAAAAACAGCCTGACCCCTCCGTCTTGGGACCCTACTGAAAGCGGGGTTTAACTGCTGCAACCAATGCTAAGGGCAGCATAGCAACTGCTCTCCCTTTCGGTAACTAAAAGCGCTCACCCAACACCTTTTGCTTTCCACCTAAAAATATTGCTGCCTGGTCCCCAGGCCTAAATAAAATGCCATCTAAAATCTAAACATTATTTGGGTTAGATGTTTCCCACTGTTATTAATTGCTGGGCAGAGTGTTAAAACTTAGACTTACAATTTTACCCTGCAGGGGAGTCCCATGCTCTAATTAGTTAAGAAGAAAACCCAGAGTGAAAAATGATGAAGCAATATTCTTGCAGGGTTTTTAAATTAATAATCACTCATTCAACAAGCATAGGAAGGTAGAGGCACATTTGGGACATAGTTTCTTAAGTCCATTATAATGGTTGGTCATCACAGCTGACCTTTCCAATTCTCCAAATCAGGCGATACAGAAACCAAGTCAGGGCAGAGGGGCATGTGGTGTCTAGTTTAATATGCACGTATAACAGTTGCTTACAAGGTCCTTTTGGAATTTAATCTCTAGCAATGGTTCCAAAATGCCTAAAAGAAAAACGTTCTATCCAAATGTTATTTTAAAACCCCATCATATATTGTCTAAGAAAATGTATCACCGCATCAGTATATCTAATATAATTGTTGACAGTATCTTTTCTCCTGAACACTTTCCATGGTTAGGAAATGGAATGCAGTAGATATAGTTGCTAAACATGAATTACAACATTGACTACTTTATAATATAGTGTAGTCTTTAAATTGTTTATCTGTGGTTAAAACCAAAACTAGATCGCTATATTTAATCAGGCTTCTTATTTCAAATAAAAACATGTATAAATTACTAAATAATTCAAATGTTATTAGATTTCTAATTACATTTTTGTGGTAAAACAAATGTGTCTATCAGGTGAGTTCAAAGAGTCACTAGGAAGACAAGATGAGATAACATTAAGTGTGGTCCTCAAATTAGCAGCACTCGCACCAACAACCTGGGAATTTAGAGACATACACATTCTTGGGCCCCTCCCAAACCTACTAAATTAGACACTCAGGTGGTGGGACCCAGCAATCTTTTTAAGAAGGCCTTCCCCATAAAATCCGGATGCACATGAAAACTTTAAGAATGAACAATGAGAGCATGGGCTCTGCAGTCAGACCGTCTTGGGGATCAGTGTGAGTTCTTTCATTCATAGCTGTGTGACCCTTAGCAAGTTAATCAATGTCCCCAAGTCTTGTCTCTAAATCTGTAAAAATAAGATCATGGGACCTGCCCTGGAGAAGCTTGAGGAAGAAATGAGATATCCTATAGTAAAGCTTATGGCACATAGTAGGTGCTCAAAAAATGTTAGATTCTTTGGTTTTCATCCAGGAACATGACATTTCAATCAGAAAAACAAATAATTTTTAATTTAGCTTTTGCACAATATGCTGTCTCCAACTAAACAGCTGTTATCAAGACTGAAGTTTTTGATTCAGAAAAAACACAAATGTAGCTATTGTTTCATCTCTCTTAATTGTATTTTGTACTAATTAGGTTTAGAACTTTAAAGTAATACTTATTATTTACAATAATAGAGTATGATTCTCATGGTTACAAACGCATCTATGCTGAATTGGTACTTAAAGCCCAGGATACAAAAGCCATCTGTCGAATTCATTGCTACCAGAATGGATTCTGTAAGGCTGCCCCTCACTGTGGAAGCACCTCTTTACATTCATGGGATATAGTTCCTAAATGGATGTTTGAAAAGACATTTTCAAAGTACAATTTTGAAAGAAAATACACTTTCTATTTTTTTTCATAAAATAGAATTTTCAAGTTACAATGGTGTTTTTTTTAGGCAACTAGGCCTGCTCCCTCACTACACAGCTGTATTACACAGCTTTAGACAGCCTTAGCTCTAGTGTGAAATGATGCAAATGGCAAGATTCAATATGACAAATCTGAATTCAAATGTGACCTTCTCCACCTGCTCTCAAGATAAACTCTCAATGGGCCCCAGTATCCAAAACTATAAAAATGGAGGCAATGTCCTAAATATTTTCCAGAGATGTATTAGGTGTCCCCCCAAAATATATACCCACCTTGAAAAATTATTCATCCCAAAGGGTTAAGTCTGAAAAGAACATTGGAATAATTATTAAAATTGTGTATATATTTTTGGGGTACACTATATATATTATGTGAAAGTGCTTGGTAAACCATGAAGCACTATAAATCTGGGAGATCATCATGTGACTTGTCCACGGTCAAGGAGATGGTGGTTTTATGGTGGAAGTGCAGTAGAACCATGCAGGTCTTCTGAAAACCTTCCATTGCTTTCCCCTCCTCAACACTGATCGCATTTACACCCTATGACAAAAATCTATGGAAGATATTAACCAATACTAACTGAACAAAATTTTTAAAAATCTATGAAAAGATTCTCACACAACTCGCAAAGATCCATTTGCTCAGAGCAGGAGAATGCCAGTGTTAGGGACATTTCCTCTGCTACAACATCCCAATATTTGTCAAATATTTCCTTGTCCAACATTCATAAAATTCTACATTTATTTGTATTGCAATTGTTTTCCAGGTAGGCAGTAGCTCTCCCCCTCACTTCTCAAGTATCCTCATTCAAAGCTGTTTTTTTTGTCTGTATGTGTTTCTATTTAACTTATAATGAAGTAATATTAATATTTCAAAACTAAAAGGATGATTTTTTAAAATGCTTTATAAAGTATTAGGCATTGTGATTGATCAGTGCCCAGCTTAGAAAGATACTTGCTTTTATGGTACAAATTCACCTTGTTTTAAGAATATGCAACATAGAAAATTCACAGGAAGACATGAATTATTAATAACTGACAGCATGAAATGATCACAAAGCTTATTTACATAAATCATTAAGTGGGGGGTTGGAAGAGGTTATTAACAGGAAGTTATTTAAAACTAACAAATTAGCCTTGCCAGTGTGGCTTATTTGGAGCATTGTCCTGTGCACCAAAAGGTGATGGGTTCAATTCCTGGTCAGGCCACATCCCCAGACTGTGGGTTCGATCCCAGGTACAGGCATGTGTGGGAGGCAACAGATGGATGTTCCTTTCTCACATTAATGTTTCTCTCTCTCTCCCCCTTCCTCTCTCTGCACTCTTACTAAAATATATAAATAAAAAATAAAACTAACAAGTTATTACTATGAATAGACAAATAAAACATCTACATAAATAGTTAAGAACGCAGATATTAAGAATGAATACAATCAACTGACCAATTTAATTGTTCTACAATCATAATCAAACTTTTAAATGGGAATAACAAGAATTATTATAGATATGATCCCAATAAAATATTGTTATTTATATAAAGTGGCAATATTAACATGGTTATTCTTAAAAAGCTACTAGTAATGTCAAAACTTAAATTCCTGTGTTATACTCATGACATCAGTGATTTCCATTAGTTATAATTTATATTTCAAGCAATATAAAATTATTTGGTACACCTATGATTTTAAAGTGCTATATATTTAACTTATATTCTTTGTACTTCCTGTTTTAAGTTGAAAATAATCACAACTGTTAGCATTTAAACTATATATTTTTTCATGTTGACGTTACATTGTTTGACTGTACAAGAAAACTCCACACCATTCCATCATCCTTATTTTATTTAGGAGTAAAATTCAAGGATCAGTAATCTTGTAATGAACTCCTCCACAGCTTCATCAAAAT